CAGTAGTGTCAATAACGACACTGTGTTTATAGATTTCAATCAAAACAAGTGTTATAATGAGACTACTTATTTTGATACTTACGTATAACTCCACGTAGAGAAATATCTGAAATGTAATTCGAAACGTTTTGAGTTATTAGGATCATACAAAAGTTATGATGATATTGGTATGTTAAGAAGGGAGAGAGTTTGAAGGAAAAGCTTACAGAGAGGAGAATGCGTCCAATGGTTCCGAATGCAGCTTGACCGATGTCCGGATAAGTGCGGATTCTAGGTGAAGTTTCGAGACATCTCTTGAGGAGAAGACCTGTGTAGAATGTGATGATACCAAAGGATAAGAGTATGAAAAGCCCTAACCATCCTCCTTCTTTCAGTGCGTAAGGCATTGCAAGCAAAGCTCCTCCACATAGAACATTGATTCCTACAACAAATAGAAGAAGTTGAAGTAAAACTCAACTGTTTAATGGAATTGATTTTGATTGAAATATAGTTTTACTTTCTATATATCTAACTTTGAAACTAGACAAAAAAATAACATTTTTGATCTAACTATAAGTAAGGTTGAACTAGAAACACTCATAATTACCGTTAAGAACGGATTGAGAGAACGTGCAGCTGCGGTTTTCTTCATGAATCGAAAGATCCTCTGAGACTGATAGTCTGAGATGAGAAGCAAGAAATGATTTGATGGAAGAGGCAACAGAGCTTTGGATCTCATCCTTGTCGATTAGAAGTTGTTGTTTGCTTGGGGAAGAAGTAAACGAACTGAAAACAGAGCTTTGTCTCCTCTTGTGAAACGAAGAGACAAAGCTTGTCCTCAATGGAGGTGTAACTCCAGTCAACATATCCATAGATTGTCTGAAAATAACACCAAGAAAATAAAGATATGATCTCTAAAACAACAAATTCTTCACCAAAAAACAGAATAAAAATCTTATAATGATCTACCGATAACTTCGAGCCACGGAACGGGATCATCGTTATTGGATTCGTTACGTGATAACGGAGTTGACGGAACAGAGCTCTCTGCTTGGCT